AACTTGACTGATAACTGTGAGAATCTTGGGTCTATGTGGGTTCCAATAAGTTTCCATTTTTCCAAATGATCAACTAGAAGTCAAGTAATTATTTGTTGCTCTTACAATTTGGTTCGACGATCAAGACTTGTGTCAGGTAGTGTAAATCATATGAATTCAAATAAAAATGTGTCTTCAAATTCTGTTTTTTTTTCTTCTACATTACTTCTCTTTTCACAGATCACTTTTACTTTTTATTCTCTTCCCTTCTGTCATCTGACTTCACATACCTGTATGCGATGTTCAGTCATGGTTCAGTCGGTGGATAAAATCAACCCTCTGCATTCTTTTTCTCGGTGAATATCTTTGTTTCACCTGTAAACTCAACAACAGATCACACCGTTTCAGTGCTACATAATGATCTGATAGTAAAAAGAAGAGACGGACCATGTCAAGAATTAAAATTAAAATATGAATGCTGACAGTCATTTTTTTTCAATATGACAAAAGTGTGTTTTTATGCATGACGGAAATGCTATTTTAAGCATTCAAGAGTTAATCTTGCTCTCTCTCTGTCTTTCAGGTTTAATAAGTGCAGAAAAAACACACTACACAAAGGCAGTTTTGTTAAAGGACTCTCTGATTAATGGATCTGAATGGAGAAGTGATGCCAAGGCATGCAGAAATAAAATACATTGGCCAGTGACAGCGGTTGCAGTCAACACAAAGGTAAAGCTCATTGAAATGCCTGGCCGGGCCTGTTGTAAAATTGCTGCTCAGTAAATTGGTTTTTGACGAGCGACGGGTTTCCGATGGTCAGATGCTGGAAGAATCACGAGAGACTTTTTTTCTTCAGAAGGAGGGAATATTTAGGTTGAGATATTCCTGATCCTTTCACTGGCAATAGCAAAATTTTCAAAACCTTTGATATTTCATAATATTAAATCAAATGTGTGAATATAAAATCAAAATATCTTCTGTGTAGGGCCAGACAGAATCTGCGGACATTTTTTGCTATTTCTGCGCAGAATTCTGTAAAAATCAGATGTATGCAGAATGATTATGGGAGTATCTAAAAACTTTATATATGAAATAAAAATGATACATTTTTTACTTTTCTGTAATGTTTACAATGCAAATCCAATAGATTCACTTATTTGGTAAACAAAGCAAGTCTCTCACATAATACATCTACTAAAAGACATAAAATATTACTTTATGAACTGTTTTGTAAATAAATCACGTGAACATTTTTATATTAGACTGAAATTTTATAACCTGCATAAATATGCATTTACACAAGTAAATAAATAGACTCAGATGGGCTAAAAGTCTATGGAATTCCATGTGGCACACAGATTCCATGTAGCCCTACTAATATGTTTGTGCACTCCTGAAACAACTTACTTAAACTGTAGTTTTACTATAATTTTAGTATAAAGTATATTATTAAACACTTTTTGGAGTGTGAAGGATAATCAGTACTTTGTGACCAAATGTTTTCATGTTGTCATAAAATGGCATATTTTTGTGTGTGTGTGTGTGTGCGCGCACACACACACACACACACACACACACACACACACACACACACACACACACACACACACACACACACACACACACACACACACACACACAGTTGGAATCAGAATTATTAGCTCCCCTTTGAATTGTTTTTTCTTTTTTAAATATTTCATGTTTAACAGAGCAGGGAAATATTTATACATATATATATATGGCCGAAGCAGTGGCAAGAAGGTCGCTGGGTCGCTGCTTTAAACCTCGGCTCAGCTGGCATTTCTGTGAGGAGTTTGCATGTTCTCCCTGCTTTTGCGTGGGTTTCCTCCGGGTGCTCCGGTTTCCCCCTCAGTCCAAAGACATGCTGCAGGTGAATTGGGTAGGCTAAATTGTCCGTAGTGTATGAGTGTATGAGGGTGACAGGCCCAGACGACAGGCCGGCCGGATTGTGTAAAAAAAGTCCTTATCATATGGACAAGTCTAAATGGAGGACTTGTTTCAAAGAGCCGACCCCGCAACCATACGGGACTAAGGCCAAAGAAGAAGATATTCGTATATATATGTGTGTGTGTGTGTGTGTGTGTATAAATTAACTGAATGACATGGTAAATCATGGTCAAAATGTACGAGTCATTATTTTTTGCTGACATAATAAGCAACAACAACAAAAAAACTAATTTAAAGCTAAATTAGAAATAGACACTATTTGTTTTGATGTTTGACATGTATTACAAAAAGGTGGTGAAATATGATGACATTGCTGATGTCCTCATTTCTCAAAAAGCTTATAAATCGCACCAAAATAGTTTTTTCAGAAAGTAAAAGTGTACAGTTTAGGTATAGAATGGGGTTAGGGCAATAGAAAATACAGTTTGTACAGCAAAAACAATGGAAAACGATGGAATGTCCCCAGATTTCACAAAAACAAATGTGTGTGTGCATCATGTGCAATGTTATTACTATAGTTAATTACACTCTTTTAAAAAATGATTGCTGTCTTAATTGTTTTAGTTGAGCCAAATTAGCTTTTCTAGTCATCTCAACTTATGTAAACTGACTAAAAATATAAAGTTAAACTTTACATAGCTTAAAAAAATGTAGTTGTAACCTGATTAACTTAAGTTACAGTAACATAAAAACATTCCTAGTCATGACTTCTTGTCATACCATCTTTTACAGTGCATGTAACATGCAACAAAATGCTGAGGTATGCAAGGTATCCTGTACAGTACAGTTACAATGGATGTCTTTGTTTCAGGTTTTTCTGCACTGCAGAGATCATCTTTCATTTTCTTTTCCTTTTTTAAACATTAACATCTTGAAAAGCAAGAACAAAACACACCTTCCTGTTTTATCCGACCATATAATTGTCAGAGGAATACTTTAATGTGGAGGAAGAGAAACATGTTCCTGTCTTTGTGCCAGCGGATGTGATTTCTATAGGAACAGTGGTGTGTATACAGTACAGATGTGAGGTTTGTGACCAACATAGAGTTAAAAAACGGGAGTTCCCAGAGAAATGGTCAGATTTAAAATGTAACATCCGCTCGCTTCATTATTATTATCAAGTAAAACGATAAAAAGTTCAAATATGTATGAGTAAGAGAATGTTGCATGTAGCTCATATCTTCCCCTAGATGGGGCCGTTTGTGTGAAGTCAGTGTATAAAGGTTTGTTTATTTTTTTGTGTTGGATTACATTACAAGATAATGAAGTGAAAGAGAAATCAAGAGCGGAGACAGCTAATCGACTCTATCAGACATCAAATAATTTACCTTTATTAAAAAAAACAATTGTGAACAAAAACATTTTAAGTCTCACTTTCTGAAATGCATATTTCTACTAAGAACATCTTAATATGTAATACATCCAATACATACAACGTACCACTATAAAATAACTGAAAAGATGATACTGATATCAACAGCAGTGCCATGTGGACAGTGGTTTACATTCAGAAAGACAGACAATACCATTCAAATGTAACCAAGTTGTTAGATCCATCATAGAATCTAAAAAGTACCAGCATGACTCTATTAAAAGGATAGTTCACTCAAAAATCACAATTTGGAAATTGTTAATGCTGTTTCTCACTGCAAGTGCAAGCAGTGCAGGCGCAGTGTGTATTTAGAGCAGAAGCAGCGCGCAGCCGTTTACCTTTCACACTAGCTGCGTCTGCAGCGCGCATTTGACTTAAAATTGAGTTTCAAACTAGATTGACTTTAAGTTACAATTGAGTTTTTAAACCAGCTTAACTTTGAGTTACAATTGAGTTTCAAATAAGCTTAACTTTGACTTACAAACAAGTTTTAAACCAGCTTGACTTTGAGTTACAATCGGGTTTCAAACCAGCTTAACTTTGAGTTACTATCGAGTTTCAAACCAGCATGACATTGACTTCTGCGATGTTCAGGCTTCGCGCTGATGCGCTGCTTCTGTGTGCAATATGAAAGCTCTACTCTGTTAACAAGGACACCGAAAAAACATGCTCTGCTCACGCACTGTTTGCGCTTGCAGTGTGCAACAGGCTTTACTCAAACTCAAGTAGTCTCATTTACACATACTGCATAAACAACACACACATTCATATGCTAAAAGGGTTAGTCATTTAGTTTGAGTTACAACTAAGTTTCAAACCTGCTTTACTTTGACTTACAATCGGGTTTTAAACCAGCTTGACTTTGAGTTAAAATTGAGTGTCAAACCAGCTTGACTTTTAGTTACAATCGGGCTTTAAACCAGCTTGACTTTAAGTTACAATCGGGTTTTAAACCAGCTTGACTTTGAGTTAAAATTGAGTGTCAAACCAGCTTGACTTTGAGTTACAATCGGGCTTTAAACCAGCTTGACTTTGAGTTACAACCGAGTGTCAAACCAGCTTGACTTTGAGTTACAATTGAGTGTTAAACCAGCTTGACTTTGAGTTACAATTGAGTGTCAAACCAGCTTGACTTTGAATTACAACCGAGGTTCAAACCAGCCTGACTTTGAGTTACAATCGGGTTTTAAACCAGCTTGACTTTGAGTTACAATCGAGTGTCACACCAGCTTGACTTTGAATTACAATTGAGTGTCAAACCAGCTTGACATTGACTTACAATTGAGTTTCAAGAATGCAGATAACCATGCTGTAACCATGGACCCTAAAAAATACTATAAACATTGACTTTGGTGGAATTTTCTTTTCTATTAAGCATGTCAGGGTTACAGGTTTCCAGCATTTTTAAATATATCTTAATTTTGTTCATCAGAATAAAAAAACACAGGGTTGAATCAACTTGAGAGTGAGTAAATGACAAAATTTCCACTTTTAAATGAACTATCCCTTTAAAGCAATCAAAGTCCAATTGTGCTAACCTTTCTGTGTATGTCGGATCAAACCGTTTTGTAGTGCTTTCTTGTGTTAAATCATAGAATAGTTCAAACGATCATGACGGACATAAATACATGTTTTTAGTTCATTGCAGAATCCTATGAAATGATCAAGAGCTGCAAGTAACTTCAGGATCTTCATACTGCATAAACAACACACACATTCATATGCTAAAAGGGTACAACCATATAAATTCCTTAAGTTTTTTGCTCACAGGCAAATGTGGAATACTATCTTTCCCAAAACTCTGCACTACAGCCCGTCTTGCAAGTTCCTGTAGGGTTTGCGGGACATCCCCTCGATACGGCCTGCTCAAACTTTTTTTCGGAGATGCGATGTAGTATCCAAGCAGTCCAAAAATGCATGAAAAAGTGTGTTTGCTACCTGCTAAACTGAAGCTTTCGTTCTTCAGCAGCACTCGAACACTGGTCGGGCCTTCAGGAGCCCGATAGCTGAGCGTGAAGAAAACGTTGGCCTGCATGCTGTCCCGAATCAGGAACGTCCCAAGGGGAAGATTCGCCAGTCTCGCATGAGCTTCGTCCACATCCAAAGGGCCCCAGTAAAATCCACTGTGAGTCAAGTAAACCACAGCCTGTTTGATAAGATTGCATTCCTGCTGGTCCCGGAAAGGGTGAAAGTGTGTTGGTGGGACGGAGCAGGGTTTCGGAGGCTCTGCGGATTTGGGTGGTGCATTTGTATGGCCGTTGTCATTGTGATGGACCATTCTGAACTGAAGCCCACTCATGACATTCCTCCATGATCTTAAAGCATAGACGATTGATTCTGTGCAGACTGTGTGTAAAAAGGACAAAGAGTTTGAAACATCAGATAAAAGCTCTGATCGAAGACAGTACAGATGATTTTAAGTGTGCACAAATTGTCATTTTTTTTATAGCGAAAAGGTCTATTTATATTGGGATGATGATCAAAAAAGGTTAGTATTAGTAGTATTATTAATGACTAGTACTATTAATTTATTAAAATAATTAATTAATATTATTACTATTAATTCATAAATGAATACTAATCATTTATTTTGTATTATATTACAGTAAACATTTTTTAAAAAGGCAAAGAGTCTCCTCTTCTACACTGTAAATAATGTCTGTTAATTAACAGTTTCCGTATGTTGTGATTCAAGGGTTTTCTGTTTATTTATGATTGTAAATCGCTTTATGGGATGTTGATCTCTTCTTCTCAACTTTTGATGTTGAAAATTCAACTTTACAGTTTAATAAAGTGACTTTTATTTTAGTTGTTTGAAATAATATAAATTTATAAAAAATACTATAAAAATATACTGAAATAAGTCTGTAAAGTAACAGAAAATGTACTGAACTGAAATATACAACACAAACCCAGACAATATTTCACTTTTAAAACTTTTAAAAATGTTAATAAAACTTTTGTTTTTTTAACTTTTCAAGGTTAAAAGTTTCTGGAAGAAAGATTAAGATCCTGTAATGCAATTTAAAAGCATAAATAAACAGGGAAAAATTAAAACATGAATGACAAAATACGGAAACTAACGCTGTAACTGCTAATTTACAGATATTTTTCCAGTGTATGAAGATGACACTCAAAAAATGAAAAAGAAAAAAGATTTTAGTATTATAATGATTATTAATACAAATAACAACAGCAAAAATACTAGAAATATTGCTAATAATATTATTAAATACAATAACAAAAATTACCTAAAATTATTTGTTCATTCATTTGCCGATAACTTTCATATTTACACTCCGGGTCAAAAGTTTGGAGTCAGTCTGAATATTAAATGTTTTAAAATAAGCTTCTCCTGCTCACCAAAGCTGCATTTATTTAATCAAAAATACAGTACAAATTGTAAAATTGTGAAATGTTATTGCAGTATAAAATAACTGCTCAAATAATTAAATTTTTTTAATTTATCCCAGTGATTTTAATGATGAATTTTCAGCTTCATTACTCCAGTCTTCAGAGTCACTTGATCCTTCAGATCAATCACTCTAATATTATTATTATGATTATTATTATAATTATTATGATTATGGTTATTATGATTATTATGATTATTATTATTATTATTAATGGTAACAGTAATAAAATCAATAATGACTGGAGTAATAATATAATTTGAAACTACATACAATAAGAAATCAGTTATTTAAAATTTTTATAAATTTTTAACTTTTTTTTTTTTACATTTATTAAATGCTGCCTTGATGAACAAAATCATTTTCTAAAAAAAATGAAAGAACTGACCCAAAACCTTTGACCGGTAGTGTATATTATTATTGTTAATAATATTAATAATAATATATTAATGTTTATTTCTGCCCATGTAGTAAAAGTCAGAGTTATGGAAATCCGATCTGTCCCTGTAAAGGAAGTCAACATTTATCAAGAAAAGTATGTTAAAAATTAAGTTTAAATGTTAAAATAATATCATAAAACATGTTTGAAAACACATATTATACACAGGTAATTGTTATAAAAATGAAAATTAAATTTTACAGATACAATTTTTTAAAATAATTCAACGGTGACAACTAATTACGTAGACTACTCAAAGTGAAAGCATTTTCACACTTTTTACTAGATGCTCTTTTGCTGAACTATATATTTTTATAGGAATAAATTGGAACAAACTATTTATAATATAATTTTAGTGAAGAAACATTAGGAAACCATGAGGTTATAAAACCTCATATAGCCTATAGCCACAAGCTACAAGTTGCTGTGGACTGATTTGTAAGTCGATTTGTATAAAAGTGTCTGCTAAGTGGTTGGATGTACAATGCAAATGTAAAACTCAATGTTATTTAGAATAACTTAGCACGAGTTTTACAAGCCATTTTTAGCTTTAAAAAATAACAGATCATGTATTTTAAGCACATCCAACGCCCAAAACTATCCTAAGTTGGTTGGCTCTAAAAATTAATTGAATGGCACTTTCTAGACAAACGCCTTGGATTAAACTGTTAGCAGAAAAAAGTGAAGCACCGTTGCCTTCCCTCAGATTTATCAGCACGTATGTTTACACGAAAACATCATGACACACATCAAATAAAATGAAATCGTTTCTCCTGTGAATCAAGCAAAACAATTTCAATATTCAATGTCTGTCACACTCTCATTTCGAAATAAACCTTGGGGCTCCAGTGAGAAGGCTATCATAAAGCGGTGTCATACTGGAATAACGTCACGGTGAAATTAAAGGTGACAGAAACACCTCCAGTCTGGTCTCAGATCAAAAAAAGCACTCGCCAACTTACCGCAAATGTAGTTTGATGTTGACTAAGCCAAACTTCTCTACGACTGTCACAAGAGTTCCTGCGATGCTTCATTTTTGGTAGCGAATAGGCTGACCATTATAACAGAAAGCGAAAGTTCTGAATAAAAGGCGGTCTCTCATGTGGAATAGCCTTTGTTTTCCAAGAACTGTCAAGAGTCTGGATGGAGGAAGCTTGTCTCCCTATCCATGAACGCGACTAGCATCTTATTTACCGTACATCCACCGTTCATCCAAAGCGCAACGCGTCAAGTGAAATCCTAGATGTGGGAATGAATGTGGATGTTGGCTCTCAGCGCTCTCATCATGTGCAACTGTAAATTTCAAAATGGCGTGGATCTAAATAAAATATCTAAACCCCTGTTATAAGCAAGTGGTTGCGGTGTACCCGCTATAATGCACTTCAGATGTGGATTATTATTATTATTTAGCCTGACGGTTTGTGAACAGAATAGTTTCGCTTTCGCTTTTGGAGCGCTTTTACTTTAAATCACGTGATCTTTCTCAACTCATCTCGCATTACAACAGGTTAACTATTAACAGAGTTTTATATTTAATCATAAAAAATGGATTAAAATAAGCTACAAATCTAAAAAACACAAAGGCGTGCTAATGCACATGAGAAACATGATTCTTGAATGAACAAAATATCTTGAGTATTGAAAACTGCAAGATCCAAACCATAAATATAACAACCGATCATCATATATGCTCCAGTAAGATTTAAATAAGAATAATTATAATGTCTTCTTTTTGTTGTAACTTGCACGTTGAATTCTTAAATATTTTCAAATAAAGCCCTTTGAAAATATTTGAATAAGGAAAACAAGCTTTAAATGTTGGTTGCAGTCATGATGAAAGCATCCATATATACAATCCTGAAGTTAAATTATTAGTAATAATAAATAAATAAACATTATGGTCAATTATGCATACAGTTATGACTGTAAACAGATGCTGCGAGGTAACATTTCATTCCTTAGATGCTTTTAAGATCATTAATCATACCATCTCTAAAAACATCTGACATTTTTAGGGATTTTATAAAGTTTAGGTAATTTGTTTTGCATAAGAAAATTCAAATATATTTACCAAATACATGTTTGCTTTAAATATTTCTAATAATTAATCAATTAAATATTACTAATTATAATTTAAACAACAAAAACAAAACAAAAAATGCTATGATTTTCATGGAAAAAATACCTTGCACTTTACTGCAGAATTCAACGAGTTTCCACTTGGAGGAGATTCCAGTTTGAGATGAGCCTCAAAATCCACAATAAACTGAAACCAACAGGCTGTTGTTGCAAAGCCCCTACACATCCACCTAAAGAGAATCCACTATAGCTGGTGTACTTGAGATCTGTCTTTTCATAAAAAAAAGCACACCACAAACCACCACAGACCTGTATACAGGTGCTTTTTCATTTCAGTTTCGCTTATAGTTGACCCCTGTACAAGGATGCATCACATTCGTGTGCAAATACTTTCAAATGTAACCTGAAGATGAGAATAAAATTTGTGTATCACTCTAAAATGCTAAATTTCCAGCTAATTTGGCTCAAATGTGGACAAATCCAATCATTTGGTTACATTTAAACAATTTTAAATAAAACTTTAACCCAGTATTTGGGTTTCCACCAAATTTGGGTGGAATCAACCAAGGATCTCTTACAGAGTTTATCATTTAGTGTAAAAGAGTTTTGAAGAAATTGGATTGTTAAAGGAAATGGGTAGTCGACAGTCATGTGTTGATTGACATAATAATGGAGACTGGTGGACACTTCTAAATAATTGCTCTAATTCAACATTCACTTTCAGAATGATGCGATCGTGATAAACTAATCAGCCCGAAACAAAAAGCAGAATAACATATTACAACAGCACCATTATTTCTGAAATCATTTCTGAGCATTTCCATTTACAGGAAAGCTTCCCATCTGCACTGCTATAGTTTCACTAACCTAAAACCCACAGCTGTTAAAAGAACCACCTAATTTGCCTTATAAAACAAAGCTCTTCCAAGAAATGGACTTCACACTAAGCTCACACTGCACTCTACTGGCTAATCTCTACAAGGAGTTAAAACAACAACCATTCAAAACAATAAATCCTCTAAAAAAATATGCATTTTATAAATCTTTATCCATTTGCATTTCATATTTTAAAAGTGACATCATGATTTTTAATCACAATGTCAAAACTGGACCTTCTAGTTGATTCATCCACAATCTTATCTCAACATACAATCAACAATGACGTGCAGTTAACGCCAACATGTTGCTGTTTCATCACAGCTTTTGGTTACACTTTATTTTGATGGTGATTTCATGATATTTAAGCAGAATGTCAAAACTGGACCTTCTAGTTTGTCATTCTGTTCATCCACAATCACACTGTAAAACCCATAAAGTTAAGGTAACTCAAACCGTTTGAGGAAACTGATTGCAACAAACCATTATAGCTAAAAAAAAACTGTTAACTTAATCCACTTGAGTAAGCAAAGCAATTTAAGCACAATAAAACCCAATACATGAAGAGAACTCAAACCAACTGAGTACTGTAAAACGAGTTAAGGCAACTCAAACCATTTAAAGAAAACCAATTGCAACAAACCATTTGAGTAAAAAAAACAATCTATATGGGTACTGTGAACTTACTCCATTTAAGTTAAATTAATGAGGTATTTAATTAACTCTTCAATACTGAGTTCAAATAAGTAGAATTAACTTTTAGTCAATTTTGAGTTAACAACACTCATTTCATTTGATAAAGCTGACTGTTGGGTTTTACAGTGGATATCTCAACATACAATCAACAATAATGTGCAGTTAACGCCAACATGTTGATACTGTTTTACACGGCTTTTGGTAACACTTTATTTTGATGGTGATTTCATGATATTTAAGCAGAATGCCATTCTGTTCATCTACAATCATATCACAACACAATCAACAATGATGTCCAGTTAACACCAACATTTTGCTACAGTTTCATCACAGGATTTGGTTCCACTTTATTTTGATAGTGATTTAATGACATTTAAGCAGAATGTCAAAACTGGACCTTCTAGTTGGTGCACTCTCAGAAATAAAGGTACACGAGCTGTCACTGGGGTAGTACCGTTTCCAAAGGTACAAGTTTGTACCTTAAAGGTCCATATTAATACTTCAAGGGTACCTAAAAACTACAAAAGTGTTCCTCTTAAATGTTTTAGGTACTAATTTATACTTTTGAGGTACCAATATCGACCCTTTAGGTAAAAATGTGTACCTTATAAAAAGGTACCACCCCATTGACAGCTCGCATACCTTTATTTCTGAGAGTGTAATTCTGTTCATCCACAACCATATTTCATCAATCAACAATATTGTGCAGTTTACTACAATCTTTAGCTACTGTTTCATCATGACTTTTGGTTACACTTTATTTTGATGGTGATTTCATAATATTAAACAGAATGACAAAACTGGACCTTCTACACACACACCAAAAAAAAATATTCAAAGACGATTCCTTGGATTTACAAATTTTTTTCACTTTAAGTGGTTGTAAACAATTTGTTTGGGCTGAATTTAAACAAACAAATTAAGTTGAACATTATTAAATTTAATTCTTTTGTTTAAATTCAACACAAATAAATAGTTTGCAACAGTTCTGCATGCAACACTTTTTTTTGTCATTCTATTCATCCACAACCATATCTTCATTTTTCTATGTGAAGCTGCTTTGACACAATCTACATTGTAATAGCACTATACAAATAAAGGTGAATTTAATATCTTAACCGCATAATCAACAATAATGTGAAGTTTACTGCAATATTTTTCTACTACTGTTTCATCCTGACTTTTGGTTCCACTTTATTTTGATGGTCCCCTTTAGAAAGGTAATTTCATGAAAGTTAAACAGAAAGTCAAAACTGGATCTAGCATTGAAAGACTACAAATTTTAAAACTACTTATTTAAAATGAAATGAATCAACACAATTCTTGAGTCTTTTGGTGGGACAACTTAATTGTTTTATGTTCAATCCACTTAAATTTGTTTAAAAAAATTAAGTTAACTTAATTTGTGTTGGGACTACATGAAGAAATTGTGAGGAACCCATCAGTCTTTACAGTGTATGTTCACAGTCTGTGTTGGTTCACACCCATATCACAACATCCAATCAAAACCAGTGCGTATTTCTTGCTCAGCTGTTGCTACTACTCTTTCATCACAGCTTGTTTCATTTGGTAACAGTGCATTCTGAAGGTCACCTTTAGAGTTTCTATTATGTAAAATCTGCAATCACAAGTAAAGTAGCAGTCATGAGAGAATTAATGGATTTTCTACTTAATATTTAAAAAAGTTTTATCAATATAGTCCCACAGCAGACACTCTCTGCTGACTATAAGTGGTTTGCAAGTACATTAGTGAATTTTAGTGACATTTCACAAGCAAAAAGGCCCATTTTTCAAATAAGTCAAATTTACAAAGAGCAGCTCTTATAAATCAACTTATTTGTACAACCAACTTCAATTCAGGCAAAATATAAGGTGAATTTGTGAATTAACTATTTAAATTGTAAAATTGCACAGAGCAGTAATTACAACTATCCCTTGAAGCAGTATTTCTCAACCACGTTCCTGAGGAACACTAACACTATGTTTTATGCGTCTGTCACACCCATTACAGGTCTTTCAGTCTCTGCTAATGAGCTGATGATCCGAATCAGGTGTTTTTGGTTAAGGCGACATGGAAAATGTGCAGAGCTGGTGGTCCTCCAGGAACGTGGTCGAGAAACACTCCCTTAAAGGAATGGTTCACCAAAAATTTTTTAAACTGTTATATTTTACTTACCCTTCACTTGTTCCAAATCTATTTGAGTTTCTTTCTTCTGTCAAACACAAAATGTTATAATGACTTCCAAATGAATGGCTAATATTTACCAACAATCTTTAACTCTTTTGTGTTCAATAGAAAAAAAGAATTTTATAAAGGTTTGAAACCACTTGATGGTGAGTAAAAAGTGAGTAATGGTGAGCAATATCCATTTAATCCTAACTTTTAATGTCAACTAATCCTCCACTAATACTCTAATGAGAGTTAGTTGACAGATTGAGCACATGTGAAATTTCTGTATTGAACTTTTGACCCTCATGTGAAACTCCAGATCACACAAGTGTGTGTTGAAATGTCAGGATTTCACTCTCATAATTGCACAGACCAACCGTAAACGTGACCACACTTTAACCCCAACCTTAAAACTCTAAAGAGTTATGACATGCTCGCAAATTTGCATGTCGGAAGTAAACAATAAGGAAACATGTCTGGTGAACTTCTGATTACACAAATTTATATTTGAAAATGTTTGCACATTCTGCAGAATATAATGTCATACATAAAGTGCCCTGTTTTAAAACAAAACCAAAACAAGTTATAACCAATGCAATCTCACAGCCGCTTGTAACTCTTTCTAATTCATATTAACAATAGGCATGGGACGATAACCGTTTTCAAAGTTTACCATGGTTTGGAAAAGCCAAGGTTTTAAAACCGCAAAAAAAAAATCTGTTATACTGTTTCTAAGGTGTAGGTAATCATTTTTTGTTTTGTTTTTACATGTTTTTAACAAATGCTTTATTTAGTTTTTTAAGGCAACGGTATCTCCCGTAGAAAAGGACCCTTCACATATAAAAGATACTGGTCAGCACATGATTCAGCAAACATTTGAGAAACAAATCGCTTATAAACCAACATCCTATGCTGCTATGTGCATCCTGTGTGCAATGCACGTGAACGGTGCAGCGGCTTACTTACTTTATATCCAAAGAAAAGAAAGATATCCAAAGATGCCTTTTCAAGGTCAATGATTTAATTATTTAGCCTGACATGTTTACTACTCCAAATTATTTTAAATGTTTTTTACAATATAATATCTTGTGTTCAACACCCAGAACCCTGAAGAACATATTTGAGAGAAGTAATCACAATACCGTCATACCGTGATATTTTTATCCAAGGTTTTCATACCAACAGAATCTTTTATTGGCCAACTTTGTCGCAATTTTACAGATATTTACTGCAAAAACAGCCAGTTCAGTTCAGTACAGTTCAGCACTGTAATATGCATTGCATTGTGGGTCATTTTAAACTTTTACAGTAACTTACTGCATATTAGGAATTTGGGGTATTCTACTGTAATCAAAATAATCAAGTACTGCTACTGTAGTTTAAGACAAAACTGGCCACTTGGTTTGTACTGCTAGAGTAAAAAAATAAAAAATAACAGTAAAATACTCTAAAAAAAAAATTTAAATTTCTAATTTTATTGCAAAAAAATGCATTAAAATGGCATTTTACCATAAAAATAAGTTGCAGTTAGGCTATTTTACTGTAAAATGTAATTGCGGTAGAGCAACGCCACTGTAAAACACATTTACAGGTAAGTTACAATACAGTGAATTTGTACAATCTCATTGGTACATTTTAGTATGATTTGCTTATCCTTCAATGAGGTGTAGGATAAGGGGTGGAGTTTGAGGACACATCCCTTTAAAAAATTCATTAGTTTTCATACTAATTAAATTGTATGAATGTCCCTATCGCACATTTTTTGACTAAAATTTGCATTGCAACTACACGCCAATTACTTATCATTTGAGTATTTGTAGACTGCCTGCTTAATATCTGCTGATACTGACTATAAGAAACTTTGCAAGTACATGTCAACTTACACTAACCCCAACCTAACAGCTTACTTATAAGCAAATAAGAATTAGTTGGAATGTAGATGCAATGTAACTTAAATTCAACAAAATGTGTTAAAGTGACCATCAAAATAAAGTGATACCAAATTTATATATATAAATAGTCAACAGGATGTCAAAATGGGGCCACAAAACTAAAGCGCAACCAATCCATTTTTAAATTAAAAAAGTGTGCATGATAAAGAAATGCACATCTGGTGCATATGTAGAAACATAAGCTTCATTAAACATGGTCCACACATGTAGCGATCATAAATAATTTACTGTATTCTTAACCCTCAAAACTTTCCATTTGCAGTTTATGAGGAGGCAGATGCTGTTTCATGCTCCTTCTTCCTGCTGCGTCTCAGCATGAAGGCAGCAGCTGTGAGTGCAAGAACGCCATATGTGGCAAGAACAAACTGGAAAAGGGAATAAGTGGGAGAAAAAAAAATGACATATTATTATACATAGTGATGTGAAAAGAAGACATGGTCTACTGTTGTCTTTGATCATACGGCAGTCTGACATGCTCTTAAGAATGTCAAAAATATGATCATACATTTCTGCGTCCTTGTAAGGTGTAGCTGTTAAAATGTTTCCTCCATCCTGTCAGTTCCTTCAGGGTTGGCGAATCAATCCCAAAGAGCTGTCTCTGTCATGAAAAGACATTTTTCTAAATATAAGAATGTCACTGTTACACCACGTCCAAAAAGCTGAGAACAGTATTTAAGTCGAAGATGACTTCATTTCTATTTTTTTTAAACATCAGAATGTGTCCAGTCAGAAATAAAGACAACCCCAAACAAAAATGTCTATTGGACTAACAATAGTTTATATAACCAAAAATATTTAGATCACAAAAACATTTAGGATCACAGTCTAGCCCAAAAATACTAATAAATTGACAATATTATTAAAAGATTTACCCATATGTACATAAACATAATAAGCAGCGGACATTAACTTAGTAAATTAACATTAACTGTTTTTGTTCGTTCTTTCCAAGTATCCACATTTTACTGGAGAACTTCCATTTCAGGAAACTTTCAATTTTACGTAACGGAAATACAAAGAAAAGTACTGTACTGTAAACTGCATTTCTGTTCCTTATTACTGTGAAATGGAGAAACCGTCATCGTCCACTCAGACACTGATGCTCGTAATTGACGCCACAACAAGTAGGCTTCACTACACCAAATTTTAGGACTTCTTATTATAAAATAAAAAAAAAATTTAATTAAATGATATCAAAAACATTCATTTTTTGATGTTTTATCGTCTAAGTGGGGGTTAAGATTATTAGGCTTATTTGAAATTGAACTATGTCAAAATAACACAAAGTAATGACTAATGGCTATCCATTTGGCTCACTTCTGTAGCACATGATGGATATAAAACTAGTGCATGTTCCTTTTTTAAGTGTTAACTCATTTTGCCCTACAGTATATGGGAAGTTTGTTTTACATTGTGTGTTCATATTTGTTAGCGCACATTGACATTCACTTTACATTTCATATTTTATTTTTGCAAGTTTTCTTTTATTTTTCACTTGTTTAAACCTTAAATTGTTATTAATACTTATAGGTGTATACTTTGACTAACAATGAACATAAGAGAAGCATTTTTATTATGTATGTGTTTGTTTGTAATAAAAAATCTATAATTATAATTATATAAATCTATACAAATCTAAAATATTTGTAATGTTAAAAAATATATTAGCGCATCCAAATAATAATAATAAATGATGATAAAAAATTAATAATAATTAAATTAATTAACTGTTAAAATTATATAAGATTTAGGCATCACCAGTTTTCTGATACAGGCTTAGATTTTAAATCTCTGTTTTTGAGAGCAGGAGGATACATTTTACATTTATTTTAAAAATGTAGCCTATTTTTTAAATGTATTTTAATTAACAATTTAATTATTACGCTTATATCTAATTTTTGTATTGTAACAGGATGTTATATTCAGGGGCACCCCCAAGGGGTGGCCAGGGCCACCCTTTTGTAAACTCTGACCACCCCAATAGGATTTAGTTGTTGATGTTATTAATTTAAATGTACTAACTTAAATTCACAATATTTCAATCAATAAACAAATAAATTAGTAAATAAAATGCAGCCACTAAATTATTGTGGATTGATCAGTGCCACCGACGTAGCTGATTCACTGAGATTGCACAAATTTTTTATTAAGAAATTATTATTTTTGAAATGAAAAAGTTGTTTTATCTGATTGTAAACCACAAATCCAAATATATATATATATATATATATATTATATTGTTATTGTTATTTTGCTGGTTGATTTAAAAGGGCCAGAAATCTCAATTTTGTGGGTGTATCTTGCAAAAAGGCACATCATTAGACGAATATGTATTTTATATATAATATATACATTGTATATTATAATGTGGACAAAAAGGAACATGGATAAATGATAGTATTAGGGTCTGTATAGTAAGTGTGTGTATGTATGTAGTAATGCCTTTTGTTCATTTGTTTGTTTTCTTAATTCATTCATTATTTTAGACATGGCGTATATTGCATGTTGTACAATAAAAGTATGTGAAAAATAACTTACCTATTGATTTTTATTTGGTATGCACGTGTACTTGCCGAATTATATCAAGGAATAAATTACAATGTTTCAAGAGTAATTCATGGAATTAACTTAAACTTCATTATTTCATTTACCAGAAACAAAAATATAACATTACTCATTATTCACAATATATACACATTTCATCACTTTTTGTGTGCTACCCCAAGATTTAGTGTGGCCTTACTTGGCCACCCCTAAGAACATTATCTGAAGGAGCCACTGGTTATATTATGATTTGTCTACCTTTACTTCGGTTACAAGATGGCCAAAACTTGACAGCGGTATCCGTGTCTTCACCGGGGAGGTCGGCATGTCTGCACAAGCACACAAATATACACTATAATGTTAGGCCTAATTTAAAACGTTTTCTGCTGCATAACAAACAAAGGACTACGAAAATCTTACTATGCGTGTCTCGAAATGTAAGTATTCCCTCAACACTCGCTGTGACACTACACCACACCGTGTTTACAAATGCTCCGGTTCTACAGCTGTATTTGGTTTCAGTAATTGTCAGCTCAACATCCAATTAAAACCCGCTTACGAAGACGCTGAGCCAATGGCTGCTGGTCTGGAGGCGGGACTTAAATATGGTTACGCAAACTACTTAAAGCGCCCGCGTTTGAAGGGTAACGTGTGGTAAGTTCAATATTTATCACACGCAATGACCAAAATATTCGCTGCTTTCACCTGTTTTAACTTTCCATGCCGGTTTTGACAAGCTGTATACTGTTGTTTTGCCCTCTCTGTATGCATCCACTTTGTTTACACAAAACATGACTTGCAATAATTGTCGTCTTATTAAAATTGCAACAACACTGAAAGGCTCCTGTGCTGTAAACAGTTCAAATCAAGTGAAGCAGAATAGAAAGTAGCCGGCGTGTGTCCTGAGTGAATTGAGGAAGTTGTTCATATCTAACCTCATCATGTCTATTTTCACCTGTCACTTACTGGTGACACAGGGGAGGAGATGTACTCTCGCAGTTTAAATTGTCTTTCACTGCTGAGGTCAAAATGAGGATCTTGACATTTAATATTCTGCTATAAAAACACTCTTATCAGGATATTGTATTTTTGCATTCAAGTAAGCAGCCTGTTTTGATATAACTTTCAACCAGACTTTATAAAATCAACTATAACCGAAACCAAGACTTTATGAAACCCACAATAAAGTTTCAAATTGATTAATGATAGTTTAGGTACTATATCATTTACTAACATGAATTAATAATGAACAATATGTGTACAGCATTTATTAATCATAAATCAACATGTACCAATGCCTTATTAAAAACCCAAATTCATTCTAGTGTACTTTAGTTAATGCATTGTGACTACAAACATGACTATGAAACACTAGCCTATATACAGTATATTTACTAATGGTAACAAAGATTAATTTGCATTGTTCAATGCAATGTGTTGTTCATTGTTTTTTTATGTTAATACATATATTAACTAATGTTAACTGTTCATTCATTCCTTTTCTTTTCAGCTTAGTCCCTTTATTAATCTGGGGTCGCCACAGCGGAATGAACCACGAACTCATCCAGCATGTTTTTACGCAGCGGATGCCCTTCAAGCTGCAACCCACCTCTGGGAAACATCCACACACACACTCATTCACATTCATACATTACGGACAATTTAGCCTACCCAATTCACCTATTCCACATATCTTTAGGCTGTGGGGAAAACGGAGCACCCGGAGGAAACCCACGCGAACGCAGGCAGAACATGCAAACTACACACAGAAACTGCAACTGACCCAGCCAAGGCTCAAACCAGCGACTTTCTTGCTGTGAGGTGACAGCACTGCCTACTGTGCCACTGCGTCACCCCTAATGTTAACTAATACAACCTTAATGTAAAGTGTAACCTTTGAAATTTGTAAAATTATCAGGATGTTGCACAGGAGTCTTAATTGTTATAATTTTTAAGCCGTTTTATTGAACCGCAGAAAAGGTTTACATATAATAACAAAAAGAACTTTGTGTTTCGCTTCATTGCATTTACATATTCGAACATCATTTTTTTGGGGGGTGGGGGGTGCATGTTGGAAATAAACAGTGCCTATAGAAAAACATCATAGACCTTTAAAATAATTACGTTATTTGTCACAAAGCCTGAAATCAAATCACACACAAATAACTTGAAATTAGGGCTGCATGATATTGAAAAAAAATGGCATTACGATATTGTATTTTTCTGTGATGCATATTGCGATATTAAATATAGTTTCAAATGACTTGAATGGTTCTATTTAAAAAGAATTTGAAGATTGAGTGGAATGATTTTGTAGACCAGTACATCTGCATGAAATACAATAAATCAATCACAAGCATTGATATATACAGTAGCAAAGATACAAATAAAATAAACAGCTTTACTGTTTTCTGGGAGTCTAAAAGTATTCAGACACATAAACTGAAATTATCAGATATAAAAAAAAAGCACCGTAGGTCGTTAACCTTTCTTTAGATTACAAGCATTATAAATTCTTGTGCCAAGAAGAATTGGCTTGGAATTGGCTTGGCTTGGAACGCTTACACAGTCACAGACCTCAAAAACACATGCAAATTATTAAATTTTTGATAAATTTGTGGAGCTTTTGAAAAGTGTAACAATAAATCGCATGCATTTGTGGCTGTAACTGTGGATCCTGGTCAACTATAATTCTGACTATACATTGCAGATCCTGAGTATCCTGATCTGAGTATTTCAGAAACTGCTGATCTACTGGGATTTTCACATACAACCATCTTTAGGGTTTACAGAGAACGGTCTGAAAAAAAGAAAATATCCAGTGAGCGGCAGTTCTGTGGGTGCAAACGCCTTGTTGATGCCAGATCAGAGGAGAATGGCCAGAGTGTTCCAGCTGATAGAAAGGCAACAGAAACTCAAATAACCACTCGCTACAACCGAGGACTGCAGAAGAGCATCTCTGAACACACAACACGGCCAACCTTGAGGCGGATGGTCTACAGCAGCAGAAGATCACACCGGGTACCTCTCCTGTCAGCCACAAACAGGAAACTGAGGATACAATTTATAAAGGCTCACCAAAACTGCACAATAGAAGATTGGAATATTGTTGCCTGGTCTGATGAGTCTCGATTTCTGCTGCAACAATTAGATGGTAGGGTTAGAATTTGGCATCAACAAAATGAAAGCATTAATCCATCCTGCCTTGCATCAACGGTTCAGGCTGGTGATGGTGGTGTAATAGTGTGGGGGATATTCTCTAGGCAAACTTTGGGCCTATTTGTACCAATCGTGTCAACTCCACAGCCTACCTGAGTATTGTTGCTGATCATGTCCATCTCTGTATGACCACAGTGTAGTCATCTTCTGATGGCTACTTCCAGCAGGATAACACACCATGTCATAAAGCACGAATTATCTCAGACTGGTTTCTTGAACATGACAATGAGTTCACTGTACTCAAATGACCTCCACAGTCACCATATCTCAATCCAATAGAGCACCTTTGGGATGTGGTGGAACGGAAGATTCGTATCCTGGACAATCTATTTCCAATACCTTGTTGAATCTCCGCCACAAAGTATTAAAGCAGTTCTGAAGGCAAAAGAGGGTCCAACCGGGTACTAGTAAGGTGTACCTAATAAAGTGGCCAATAAGTGTATATTGCTGCTCTCTGGTGACCTGAAGTGCTTCTAATTATCCTCATTTGTACATCACTTCGAATAAAAGCATCATTATCCTGACAAGAGTCGCTTTTAGTTCTAAAAGAGACTCTTGTCTTTGTCATCTGACTCTTACATGGAATAAATTTGCAAACGGTCAGTCTAGAATTAGTGTGAAACACTGGGTGTGTTCTCTAATAACCACAGGACGTGAAGTGATGATTTATTGTGGTGAAGCCAAATATAAGACTTACTTTAAGGCCAACTTCCTCTTTTTAAAGCTCTAATTGTAATGCAGTGTTTGGTGAAGCAGAAACATGCACATATCTAAAATAGTTCTACCCAAAAAATATTTGCATAAATGCTGTGTAAAACAAAAAGGATTACCCAACTGCAGTGCAGCATGTAAATATAAAACATACTTATAATCATACACTGAGTATTAAGGATAGTTCCCTAAAATGCATTGTGCTGGAAAAAAGGAACATCCAGTAAGACATTTTAAATCAGGCTATCAGTCAAGCTATTTAGTTTCACTACCTCCTGTGACTCACGATGTTTGCCTGTTTGTTTTCCTTTATTATGTCTACAGCTAAACTGCAGTTTACACACAGAAGAGGAGTAGACACAATAATGGCAGTCAGGTAATCACATTTCATTTTTTGCATCTTGAAAACATAGAAATAGAAGTACTGAAAAGGGATAATTCACCCAGAACTAAAAGATCTGTCATCATTAATTCGTCCTTCACTTGTTTCAAACATGGTTGAGTTTCTTTCTCTAATGAACACAATAGAAGATATTTTGAAGGAAGCAGGAAAACAGTAACAGCTGACTTCCATAGTATTCAGTTTTTCATGGAAGTAAATAGTTGGTTTTAAGTTTTCTTCAACAGAATAAAGAAACTCAAAATGCTTTGGAGGCACTTAAGAGGTTTTGGGTAAACTTATGTTGAACTAATATGTAAATGAAAGCTTATGATTGGACAGAAGGTGATTTAGAGGTTAGATATACAGTAGATATAAAGGGAGTACACTGATTTGACTGACTAACCATTTTGAGTCAGACATATAAAAGCTGTTTCATGTGTTGCGTCTTGTGTGTCTATTATATTTCTTCATGTGATGGCAAGGCTGAATTTTCAGCATTTTCACAGCAGTCTTTAGTGTCACATGGTTCTCCAATAATCCTTTTAATATGCTGATTTGATGCTTAAGCAACATTTCTTATTAACTTTGACAGCTGATTAAGATTTTTGTGGAAATTAATAACATTCTGGGGCGACACGGTGGCTCAGTGGTTAGCACTGTCACCTCACATTAAGAAGGTCACTGGTTCGAGTCCCGGCTGTATGAGTTAGCATTTCTGTGTTTGCATGTTCTCCCCATGTGGGTTTCCTCCGGGTGCTCCGGTTTTCCCCCACACTCCAAAGACATGCGCTATAGCTGAATTGAGTAAACCAAATTGACCGTAGTGTATGTGTGTGAATGAGTGCGTATGGATGTTTCCCAGTACTGGGTTGCAGCTGGAAGAGCATCCACTGTGTAAAATGGGCTGGATAAGTTAGCAGTTTATTCTGCTGTGGTGACCCCTAATAAATAAAGCTGAAGAAAAATTAATGAATGATTAATCACATTTTTAATCAGGATTCTTTTGTGTAAGGATTTAAATGCCTCCAATATTTATTTTATTCAGTTGGATGTATCCTTGATCTTAATACACTTACAAATGCAAACCAATGCAGACAATTGCTTTTGCACCCTGATAAACATCACTTCAGCATTTTTGGCAAAAAGAGTCTGTGACAGATGCCAACAGTCACCAACAAACCCCTGAACAATCATAGAGATCTGTGACAACAACCAATGCTGTCACACACCCCCCATGCCAGGCAATGCCACTTCATAAAGAAAAACATTGTTCTGTTGTCTGCCGTTGGTTTAGTTAAGCACTAGCCTTTTGACACTGGACCACAAAACCAGTCTTTTACGTTACATTGTATGGGTCACAATTGTTCATTTATATTTTATAATATTATAATATAGGATTCCCCCCATATTGGCATGGGTTTCCTCCGGGTGCTCCAGTTCACAGTCTGAAGACATGCGCTATAGGTGAATTGGGTAAGCTAAACTGGCCGTAGTGTATGTGTGTGAATGAAAATGTAAGAGAGTTTTCAGTGATGGGTTGCAGCTTGGCATCCGCTGGGTAAAACATGTGCTGGATAAGTTGCCGGAACATTACATTCTATTCGGTTCATTGGTGTTGACCCCAGATTAATAAAGGGACAAAGCCTAAAAGAAAATGAAGGAATAATATTGGATTATAGATGTTCGAATAATTTTATCACGGAAAAATATTGTGCATCTTAACAAACCATACACCAATAGAAAACTGAAATTCAGCTTTCAGATGATTTCAGAAGATTGACCCATAGCACTGTTTTCATTGTCATGGACATTTTAATGCCTACAGACTGAACATGGGATATGTGCTGTAGTTACAGTTTTGTTGTTTACATGGCAAAGATAATAGTATTGTATAAAACTATAGTATCTTTATTAAAAAATGTACCATTTTTAGTTAAAAAAAATGTAATAAATAAAGTCTATCTTTTTTTGCAGGATGAGACTCGTAGGAACAATGACTGCCATAATCCTTATTATGTTCATTCTGGCTCAAGGTCTCGAGTGCTCCCAGACATGTAAATGTGATCAGATGTATTTCTGCAACTGTTCCTCAAACAACCTCCATCAGGTTCCAACAGTTCCATCAGATGTGCTTGGCCTTGACCTGTCTTTCAATCAAATTGAGTCAATCAACATGACTGATCTCAGCTCTTACAATGAGCTGATAATCCTCAACTTGCATAAGAACAAACTCAGGCATATACACAGGGATGCATTCAAGTCCCAACATAACCTGGAAGTTCTCGATCTCTCCTTAAACAACCTGAACAATCTCTCTCCGTCTTGGTTTCACAAGTTAAAATCTCTCCAGCAACTTAACCTTGTAGGAAACCCATACTCAACTGTGGGACCTGCTCCAATCTTCAGCTCTCTTGTAAACTTGAGGACACTTCACTTAGGTAGTCCTTCACTGAGAGAGCTACACAAGAATGGCCTAGATGTGCTCACTCATCTGGACGAGATGACATTTTTTGGCAGTAACCTGAGGTCATATGAGAACGGGAGCTTGAAAGCAGCTCGTCCCATCGGTTCAGTCTCTTTGAGTCTACAGAATTTGTTTGAGAGTGATCCAGAACTAGTTTCCAAGGTCCTTCAAGATGTCTCCCACCCTGAAACTCTGCTGATAATCAAAGATGTCACTATGAAAACAAACACATCTACAGAACCCTTCAAAGTGGTGAAGGAAGGTGGCACTAAGAGCCTGACTTTCCAAAACTCCTCCACCACCGATCAAGCCTTGACCTCTTTTTTAGAGTTCATGGATGGCTCTCCATTGTCTTTTATTGGACTTGAAGATATACAATTTGTTGGGATAGGAGAGTGGCAGAAAGCTAAATACACACATCATGACAGCCTACGCACAGCCTACTTGCGTAATATTGAAATAGAAGGTTTCTTTGGGTTTAGCAGCATGATAGAGTTGGGATTTCTTCTGAAGCACTTCCACAACGTGTCTGTGATCAATGCCACAGTTTTTGTGATTCCTAAGGAAACCACATTCCTGTTGAAAAATCTAGAATACATGGATCTCAGCCAGAATCTCCTGACAGACTTGACTATTCAACCAACACTGTATACAGGATCTGGCGCATATCAAAACCTCAACATGCTCAATGTGAGTCAGAATGTTTTAAAATCTCTCGGGCTGATGTCTAGGTTGGTCACCAATCTTAAAAAGCTCAAATATTTAGACTTAAGTCATAACAGTTTTGTTTCAATGCCAGAAAAGTGTAGTTGGCCTGTTACTCTGAGGTTTCTGAACCTTTCAAGCACAAAGTTAAGCACATTGACTCCTTGCTTGCCTTCGAGTTTGACAGTTCTGGATCTCAGCGAAAATGATCTTAAGGCGTTCAAGCAAAGATTTCCTCATCTCACTACACTTATACTGACAGGCAATCGCTTAATGAAACTGCCAGATGGGAAATTATTCCCAAGCCTAAGTACATTGCTGATACAAAGGAACGCCTTACGGATGTTCAACCAAAGCTCTTTGAGGAGTTTTAAAACTCTGCTTTACTTGGAGGCAGGTGCCAACAATTTTGTGTGCTCCTGCAAGTTTGTTTCTTTCTTTAAAAAGGACGTCGAGGATTTGATCACCCTACAGGATGGCCGTCAAAATTACGTATGTAATACTCCCTTCACTCTCAGAGGTAATGCGATTGACAGTGTCAGACTGTCTGTGTTTGAGTGTTATATGATCCCTGCCGTCTCAGTGCTTTGTTCTGGGATTATCACAGCACTCGGTCTTGTTGTGTTAACCTGCCACAAGCTTCATGTCATATGGTACCTGCAGATGACTAAAGCATGGATACAAGCCAAACGGAAACCTGCTGTTGGTCGATTACCTGAAGAGCTCCGCTATGATGCTTTTGTGTCTTACAGCCAACATGACGCTGAATGGGTCGAGGAGATTCTTGTTGCTGAGCTTGAAGACACTCAGCCTTCGTTTTCCCTGTGTTTGCACAAACGGGACTTCAGGCCGGGCCGCTGGATCGTGGACAACATCATTGACTCAATTGAAAAGAGCTATCGAACTCTGTTTGTTCTGTCGGAGCACTTTGTGAGCAGTGAATGGTGCCGTTACGAGCTGGACTTCTCACATTTCCGCATCATGGATGAACACAATGACTCCGCTGTCCTGGTGCTTCTGGAACCAATAAAGAAGGAGACGATTCCCAAACGCTTCTGCAAGCTGAGAAAGATTATGAACTCCAGGACGTATCTGGAGTGGCCTGAGGATGAGGACAAGAGAGATGAGTTTTGGAGCAATCTGAGAGCCGCTTTACAGAGAGACGAGTGTTAAGCTGTTGTGGAAAGATGGCCGGTGTCCTGACATTTTATTCTACCCATCAAATTATGCTGTATTTGAATAGTTCTGAGGTTGGGGTTAGGGATTAGGTAGGTTAGGGCGATATTACAGCTTCATATCTCTACATTAAAATTTACACTGGTAGCAAAATCTGATGGGTAGCATATTACGTCATCAAAATGTGCTACCTACTTGTTCAATGGGAGGTAGGACAATCTGACAAGGTAGGACAAATCGACAGAACGGGTTATACTGACAAATACATCCCCAAAAATATGGACATTATCCAATAATTTCACTGACATTTCCATTAACAATGCACCATGCAAAGTTTAAAATACTGGTAAAACACCTGTATGAACATCTGTATTAAAATCATTCATAGTAATAGATTTTGCATCATTTTTCAGACAAAGCTTTCCCAAAGACCAGTAAAACGAGAAAAAAAAAAGGAAAAAAAAGAATTATTGGGTTTACACATTTTTTTTTAAGGTAAGTGGTAGCAAACAATAGATTTGGACTGAATTTAAACAAACAGATTAAATTTAGTAACGTTCAACTTAATTTGAGTGTTTAAACATAGGCCACATAAAAAGTTTTCTACCAGTTACCTTAAAAAAAAAATTGTAAACCCAATGAATAATTTTTTTTCAATGGGGTACAATACCAACCATTTATTTACAGATTTGCAAGTTATTAAAATCCAAAATGAAAAAAGGCTGGAAGCTGAAATAAAACTGAAATTGTCACAAATAGAGGGCAATTGCACAAAAGTGGAATCAAGAATACTAGGATAACAAAAAGGGCAGCTTTGGGTCCTCCTGGCTTAGTCCGTAGCATGTTTGCTGATCCAGGATGAGAATGAGCCGCTATGTCAAGCCTGATGTTGATAGCCAGGATAAGCAGGGGTGAATTTAACCAACTAACGAAGAGGCTGCTTAGGGCCTCAGGAAGTTTGGGGGACCCCAATGAATAGAGGTATAAATTATACACATAATCTCATTATATCATAACATCATATTTTGTATGGTAAGGGTCTAACAAATTAAATTTGAACGTAATTATAAAATCTACGCAAATTTGTCTCTCACCCCCATTCATGAGGCAGTCCAGCAGTCAAGTAAACATTCAGTTTTAAAAACATTATTTTCAATTTATTCCTTTTTTTTAGTTGTGAATCAATTTTAGGACATCACTGTAGCGCAGTGGGTAGCACGATTGCCTCACAGCAAGAATTGCATTTCTGTGTAGAGTTTGCATGTTCTCCCCGTTTTGGTGTGGGTTTCCTCCAGGTGCTTCAGTTTTCCCCCACAGTCCAAAGACATGTGCTTTAGGTGAATTGGGTAATCTAAATTGTCCGTAGAGTATGTGTGTGAATGTAAGAGTGTATGGGTGTTTCCCTGTGATGGGTTGCAGCTGGATGGGCGTCCACTGCCTAAAACATATGCAGGATAAGTTGGCGATTTATTCCGCTGTGGCGACCCCTGATTAATAAAGGGACTAAGCCGAAAAGAAAATGAATGAAGGAAAAAGGAGATTCAGTGATATAGAAAAAAAACAAAACGGCAAAATAAATAAATAATATATTTAACTACAAAGGGTGCATTTTAGGACTGTTAGGGCCCATGGCTGGAACTGCTTAGTAACTTATTTTAGCTTAATTTAGCCTGTTTTCAAGTCAAGTAAAGGCGAAACTCCACCATAGCCTCAATATCCAGCTTAATCTCTTATTTAACTTTTGTGCAGTACCCCTCTGGTGTCTTTGTTGTGGTGTGTGCCATGCGTTTGTTGTCATGCTGTGTTCCATGTGCTTTCTGTTATTGTCATGTGATTCCTTTGTCTTTTCCCGCCATTCATTAGTTCCACCTGTGTCTCTCCCCTGTTTGTTTTCAGTTCGATCATGTCTTGGGTATTTATATCCCTGAGTGTGTTTAGTTCATGGTCCAGTATTGTATTGTCACGCTCCATGTCCTGACTGTGTTTGATGTTCTAGTTCCTGTTGTAAGTGCTTCTTGTAAATAAATGTGTGTTATTTGATAATTCACGTGCGTCTGTGAGTGAGCTACCCATAACAGTAATATAAAAATATTCATTAGGCTTTAACAGGCTCATAGCCAGCCTTGTGTAAGGGGTGGTTCTTTTTTTTTTTTTTATAAGTGGACCTTTTTGCAGTTATTTAATGTAAACAGAGCACTACGTAAGTCCTTAGAGGTCATGCATTATTATATTTTGTAATGATAATAATTAACGCATAAATAAAAGCAAAAAAAAATTAAGTGGTGATCACAAGAAAACAAAAGAGAAAGAATATATTTTAATGCATGGCCTGTTAGGACATCTGTACAACATGATAAATAAGAGCAAAAACCCAACTGACACTTACCTAGTTTGGTGGATCATTTCACTGTGGTGACCCCTGATCAATAAAGTGACTAAGCCGAAGGAAAATTAATGAATGAATGAATATTAATAATAATAATAATAATGGCGACCCCAGATTCATAAAGGAACTAAGCCGAAAAGAAAATAAAGAAATAAATGATTGAATAATCAGCTTCAAAAATTAAGCCTATACTGTTGTTATTATTATAACTCCAAAAACCTATACTTACAAATATTTAACAGTTGAAAATAAGAAAGCAACAAACAATTAATAAACATTTAAACATATTATTGAGATAGCACTGTAGCATAAGGCACAATATAAAGGGTGTATCAACAAATAATATCAAAAGAGTGTTTGTGTAATAAGAGCAACAACAGTGGGAGCTTATCTAAATCTTATTTAATGCACTTTAATAAAACCTGATCTATAGTATTATGATTTCAATCAATTCAGCCATTTTCTGTTGATTAGAATGAATACACTAATGTATATCATCTGGAGCTTTTACCATGAAACATGTCGCTATAATGCACTGTTATAAAATCTATTTTTTTTCTACTGACTTCCTTTCAATGACATCCTGTTATTTTCAGACCTATTTAGAAACTCTTTCGTTTTCACCATGTTTTCATTGGAACTGCAACAAATAAAGCTTTAAGGGCTCAAAGAGTAATAATGATCATTAAAAATAAATATATATTTATATTTAAATATGTTAATCAGCATTCCTTTAAATAGTTGTGTATGGATAAAAGGTTTCTCATTAATTTCTTCAAGATGATTTTGCAGTGTATGTATTTTGTATTAACAATAAAAAACAAGTAAAATGCGATAAATCTATAAATACAGTCTTTGTTAGAGATATATGTTGGCGTTTTACTGTTTTAGATCTCCTTTTCAGAAATCACATGATTATTAGTTTATAGTAATAGGCACATGTTATGGTTTTTGTCGCCACCTGTTGTCTGCTTTTATATTTTCAGTTCAAGATTTAAAGGGGTAGTCCTCCAAAATCATTTACTCAGCCTTCACTTGTTCCAACCCTGTTTGACTTTCTTTCTATTTTCTGTTGAACACAAAAGAAGATATTTTGAAGAATGCTTTAAAAAAAAAAAACAGCAGCCACTGACCTCCAATAAAAGGACAAATGTGTACCTCATAGTATCTCAAATGCACAAACGTGAACTTTAAAAGTACAAAAATATTCCCTAAAGTTACAAAACATTTTCTGGTTTTGTACCTTTATTTTTGAGAGTGGAGTATTTGTTTTCCCACTGTGGATGTCAATAGCTGGTGACCCCTAAGGAAAGAGTCTACATTAAATAATTCTATATTTATAGTAAATGTTTTAGTTTTTTAGACAGTGTACTGTTTTATACAGGGTACAGAGTGAGTGAGTGAGTCAGGGAGTGAATGAGCCAGTGAATGAATGAGAGTTAGGCCGTACTCACACTAGGTACAGTTGCCTCGAAACGGGCCAAAGCACGCTTGTCCCCCCTCCCGTCTCCCCCGACGGCCCACACTCACACCACAATTGGGCCTCTGCACGCTTACGTCATCACTGCTGTGCTGTTAAGTGAGAAGTGCTCTCGCTCAGCACAGAGGAGTTTTCTCTAGTTATATCGTGTCAGTCGTTTGATTTGCAGTGACATGCAGTCAAATATTTCACCAAACAGTCCTTAGGGATGCGGTGACACGCAGCCAGATATTTCGCCGAACAGATCCGCTCTTTTGGCGCTCATAATCATAAAGCTCTCGTGCTGCAGGAATGAGGTCTGATGAAGCCGCGCAGCTGTCATAAAGTGAGGAGTTTGCGTCTTTAATAAACTACGGCAGTTTGCGTTCACTGAACAGTAAGAATGATTAATCAATCCATATGAAACAGTCCCTTAAAAGTCACGTCTCGCTTTCAGTTTCGGGCTTTGGCCCGTTTTGCACTCACACTACAAACGTACTGCGCCCAAGCCCAAGTGAACCGCGCTCAGGCCCATCTCTTCCAACCGGGCCAGGGCCGGCCAAGTGAACCGTGCTTGAGCCTGATTCAGCGCAATCACACTTCTCAAATGATCCGGGAAACGGGCCAGGCCACGGTACGGATGGCATAGTGTGAGTAGGCCCTTAGTAAGTGAATGAGCCAGTGAGTGAGTGAACCAGTGAGTGAGTGAGCGAGTGATCCAGTGAGTGAGTGAGTGATCCAGTGAGTGAGTGAGCCAGTGAATGAGTGAGCCAGTGAGCGAGTAATCCAGTGAGTGAGCAAGTGATCCAGTGAGTAAGCAAGTGATCCAATGAGTGAGTGAGTGAACCAGTGAGCGAGTGATCTAGTAAGTGAGCATGTGATCCAGTGAGTGAGTGAGTGAGCGAGTGAACCAATGAGTCAGTGAGTGAGTGATGTAGTGAGTGAGTGAACCAGTGAGTGAGCTAGTGATCCAGTGAATGAGTGAGTGAGCGAGTGATCCAGTGAGTGAGTGAGTGAACCAGTGAGTCAGTGAGCGAGTGATCCAGTGAGTGAGTGAGCAAGTAAGTGAGTCATTGAGTGAGTCAGAGAGTCTGTGAGTGAGGGAGTCATTGGATGAGTGAGTGAGTGAGTGAGTGAGTGAGTGAGTGAGTG